ACGAGTGGAATACAAACAACAACGATCCAAGATAAAGTTAATGTAAACATTGTAACGACTTAAATCAACAATTTTGGTTGTTCTTCAAGCAATAATACCAGCCTAACGAGTGGAATACAAACAACAACGATCCAAGATAAAGTTAATGTAAACATTGTAACGACTTAAATCAACATTTTTAGTTGTTCTTCAAGCAATAATACCAGCCTAACGAGTGGAATACAAACAACAACGATCCAAGATAAAGTTAATGTAAACATTGTAACGACTTAAATCAACATTTTTAGTTGTTCTTCAAGCAATAATACCAGCCTAACAAGTGGGATACAAACAACAATGATCCAAGATAAAGTTAACATAAACATTGTAACGACTTAAATCAACATTTTTATTTGTTCTTCAAGCAATAATACCAGCCTAACAAGTTATAAATAGCATTTAACTCTAAATGAAGTAAATGTACGCACTATAACTACACAAAAAAAAGCATTAGTTTTTCTTAAAGCAATTATAACATAATCATAATAAATATATTAAACAATTACATCATACCTTGGTTTAGTTATTCCAGTTTTTAAAAGTTCCTTTACTTCTGTTCCCCATTCAGAACTATTCTGTTGTTGTTGTAAAGCTCCACTTTGGAAGAAGAAGAACAAAAACATTTAATGTTATACATTAAAATTTGATACAGAAATAATATATTCAAGCTAATATATAAAAATATTTTAAGTAACATTTCTCTTAGCAACACTCCAGTTTAATCCAAGAATTTTGAAATGGTCCATTAAATGTAAACCAAGAGAAAATTAGTTTGGAAGTGTCATTTTACTTAATACACAATAAGAACCATAAAAAATTGGGTATACACCACATTGGAATATTAAATATTTTAATATAACTTGGCTTTTGATTCTCTTTGTCTGAAAAGGATTGCTGAAGAGAGTCGATAGCTAGCTCCTACTAAAATCTTTAACATTCCAATTGAGCATAAACTTATTCTTGTAATAGTTAGTATTGACAGAAAACTGTTATACCAGACTTCAATGCTAAAGCATTGATTCTCACATACAAATACTAAATATTTATTACTTGAGCTAAATCATAATTAAAGATGCTTGAAATATCCATCTGTTACTTTCAATTATTATTAGTAGAAAATTATCAAGTTCCCAAAATATACATTTTATAAATACGGCCAAATGCTACATTAATTTGTTTCATCATTTCACTGTTCTCTGAAAATTGTATTCTAAAAAATGTTTCTCATAATTATGAACATTCTAAATATTAAGAGTATTTCATAAACAAATATGGGACAAACGAGTTTTTTTTATGGTATTTGATATATATATATGGGCTTTAGATTTAATATAAGATTACATGAAATTCATTTATGAATGTTTAAAATGAAATGGTAAAAATCAAGTGTTATAATAAAATATAAAAGTACAAGTATATGTTGTTTTTTTTCCCATAGTCCTTGCAGACCGTTGAGCTGATGGCAGAGCAAGATCTGCCATCGTTTCTAAAGCTGTTTCTTACGTCAAGGATGCAACCCACTTGACAGCCTTCCCTCTTTGAAAGGACGAGCATGTTTGGTGTGACGGGGGTTCGAACTCGCGACCCTCAGATTGCGAGTCGAGCGCCTTAACCACCTGGCCATGCCGGGCCAAGTATATGGTTAAGCATTTAATTATAACAATTAAATTAGAAAAAAATAAGTAAACCAAGTCTCAAGACATTTACAAATATGTACATATTTAACTTTTATAAGAAACAATATCACCAGGAATGTATACTAGTCCTAGTTGTCACTGAGATGTTAAATGTTATTTCATACTTTCTATTCTGTTTTCCTCTTCATTAACTTTTAATTCAAAAAACAAAACATTTTAAACACTTGGTATTTTCATAGAAACCTTAACTTACATTAGATCAAAGTTTTCCGAGTACTGTGTAGTTTCTGTACGAGGATAACTGATATAACCCTGTGTGTACAGTTTTTCTGCTATCTGCATGGCATGATGAGGGCCCATACCCAATCCTGAGCTTGCTACACGCATCAACTCCACAGTGTTCAGTGCCTGAGGCCTCTGACGGGTCTTTTCTTTCTGAGAAGTTCCAGTAACTCTGCAAAAGAAAATAACCATGCAAAGTTTAATCTTGAAAATGGAAAAACCATGTACCTGGTATTACGTCAACAAGACTTGAAATTACAGTTCCCATAACCAGCAAAGACAGGTTTTACTTCATAGTAGCCAATCCCAGCTAATGAAAAACTATGGGGGAGGGTCACTAAAATCATAAAGTAACAATAAAAATCCCCAAACAGAATATCTAGTCTAACTTTTGCATTTTTGCTAGCAATACACACAAATAATCAACTTTGTGTCATTCATAAACAACAAAAAGTTACTTTATAAATTGTCTTGAGGAAATGTTACATATGTCATTAACATTTTCACGTGGGCTAAATCAATTTAACTAACTTCATAACCATAAAGTAATCATTACAGTTTCCATACTATAACTTTTAATGTGGAATGTGTACATTCATAAAACTTGAGAAGTTTTCAGTAAGTACTACAAGTCCTTTGTACACTAATAATAATAATTTTTAATTAAATATTTTTGCTAAAGATTTGTCTGTGAACATATGGAGTCAGAGTGCAAAGTGATTTTTTTATGCAATATAAAAAATACTTTTTTTTTCATCTGAAAATTTTTTAATTGCATTTGCATTATTTCTAAAACCTCTTAAATAAATATCGCACACATTTTTCCAGTAAAACATTATATTTTATCTCTTATTTTCTCTACCCTATCTCTATAAAGACTTGGTTGATTTCACTGACCTTGTAACCACCATAAAAAATACATCTAAATTGCCTTTTTTTTTTTTTTAAGAGAGTAGGAAGGAGACCTAAAGGATAAATGTCATGATTTTCATACCAGGAGAAATTCAGGAGTTTTTTAAATATTTCCTTATAAAATTAAGAACTTAAAACTTATATAATATTAAAAATTTGATTTATCAACTATGTTTGGATGCCAAGTTTATTTGTTTATATTAATAATAGTAGTTTGATTAAATTTTGAATGTAACCCTCTAAAAGGTTTCGACATGAGCACTCTGACCTATCTGAAAACAGAGGGTTAATGTCAATATACAAATGTTTGAAAAAACAACAACAAAATGATTGTAGGGTATATGCTTATAAATCTAATTTTTAAACTCAGCCCATCAGGCTTACATTTTGTGATAATATTTTTCTATCATCTTTTATTTTAACACGTTTTATTATTATTATTTTCTTTTTTTTGCAATGTTACTTTAATTGTCTTTGTGCTATTTAAAATGCATTTATTGTTCTATCTTGCATGCTTCATTGTTGTACTGATACTAAATATTCACCAGGTGAGTAAAGCTAATGTGAAGTATTGCAACAATGTAGAGGAAGTGTACAGGTATTCTTTAGTCAACATTAACAAGAGCCATACGTATGATCATCAGTGAAACAAAGTTCAGATCTCAGTTCAGGTCACTGGCAATGAATTACAGTGCAAAATGAATAAAAAAGTACCCCAGAAAAAATAATAATGGCAAGCGCAGAATCAGTCCTTTAAAAAAAAGGGGGCACATTTAATATATCATGAAGATCATGTTTAAAAGAGTTTACTTGGCAGCCTACTAACCAACAAATAATTTCATTTGCATAAGTAGATACCTAAATAATAAGTAAGAAAAGGCTTAACAACAACATATAACAAATAATAACTTATCATGATGCTTTAATAGGTAAGAAAAGGCTTAACAATAACAAGAAGTATACATATAACAAATAACTTCTCACAATGCTTCTTTTTTGTTTTTCACACGCTGTAGAAAAAGCTCAGCAACTTCCTTATCAAAAATACGAACACGATCCCAGTCTAAGTTAAGAGTGGTGCCTCCAGATGTCAGCACCTACGTAGAAACAGGAGAATTTCTATTGCTTATTAATCAGAGTTAAATTACAGATTTTATTAAGAAGGTATCTTGCTACAAAATCATGGCTATTGTTTTATCTTTCATATAACATACTAAGTTTAAAGTACTTATTCAATTACACGTGTTTCCTATCCTACTACTTACCTTAACCTGCAGCACCCAGTAAGCTTCTGGTTTGAAGGATTGAATCTTGTCATGTCTTTCAACGCAGAAACCTAATGTTGGCGTTTGACAGGGTCCAAATGAAATCAAAGAGCTGTCTAAATTTCCATATTTCCCCTACAAAAAACAACAACAAAAACCTAAGTGGAATTATAAAAAATATTTTTCAACACATCTAAATTATCATTACGATAATAATAAATATACTTTTGGAAATTGCATATTTTAAGATGTGGTACAAATACGTTTTATACGTATATGTTATAATTTGATGTTAATGGTTTGAAAAACACTATTTTCTGCAATGAACTTGGTACAATACAAACAGAAATAATACTACAAGGTACCCATAACAATTTTTTCAAGTTGAAGGTTTAAGTTCAGCTTTACATACATGTAATCATTGTGTTACAAGATGCAGAATATGCACAGTATACCAGTTTGTAGCGAAACAAATTATATTTCATTCTGTCTAATCATTTAAGGCGCATGATGTCTCACATATAAGTAATTACTATCCAAATATCTTTCCATCTTTTAAGTGATAATACTGTTTATCAAGTCACATGACCAGTCTGTATATAATATATATATATATATATATATATATATAATAGACGTAGTTATTACTACGTACTAACCCTACTTACGACTACTTACTTAAATTTAAGTTAATTTACTTTTAAACTTTAAAAATTTAGTTAAGTTT